TTGCTAACGGGCACCTTGCAGGGTTTTGTTTTCATAACATCTGAAAAGAGCTGAGCAGACAGAAAGAAAATATGAAATATTTCACTTTTACATTGGCTAGATCTATTGATTGAAAACAGCCTTTTAGAACTTTCTTTGTACAGCCTTGAAGATTTCTTAAAGGGACAGTGGGATGCAAGGTACAGGTCTCAGTTCCTGCCCCAAAGCATATCTCTAGGGCAAAATCACTGATAAGGTCACAATCACCAGTAAGAAGCCTGTTGCCATAGGAAGGCAGCCACTTCTGTTATGAGTCTGTGGCTAAGTGGAAGGAACCAATGCAGCAGTTTTACAGTACTCTATTAACTTGGCTACAGCCATAAGTCTTCCTCACCCCCTTTATATCCCCTAAATAAAAAGCATGAGTAGCTGGTTTTCTAGGGGAACAGTATCTCTCTCTCTTTTACTTCTGGGTTGGCCCTTTTTTAACTGGAAAAAGTAAAATGAACTTTCTTTCTATCCTAATCTTTGGAGAAAACTTCCTCAAAACCCACGCTTACGGCTCGGCGCCTGTGGCTCAAGCGGCTAAGGCGCCAGCCACATACAACCAAGGTGGTGGGTTCGAATCCCCAGCCCCGGCCCGCCAAACAACAATGATGGCTGCAACCAAAAAATGGCCAGGCGTTGTGGCGGGCGCCTGTAGTCCCAGCTACTTGGGAGGCGGAGGCAGGAGACTCGCTTGAGCCCAGGAGTTGGAGGTTGCTGTGAGCGTGATGCCATGGCACTCTACCCAGGGGGATAGCTTGAGGCTCCGTCTCAAAAAAAAAAAAAAAACAAAAAAAGCCCAAGTTTACTAGTTCACACCCCAGCACTCTTGAGGCCTCAAATATAAGAGGCAAGCAGAGGAAGGGTGGATTCTCTCTCTTTCCCTGAGCTGGTACATCAGAGCTCCCAGTTCGAAGAACTTCAGACTCCGGGAGCTACACCAGCACTCTCCCTCTTCCCTTTCCTCCCTCTCAGCTTCCGACTGGGAGTAACACCATCAGCTCCCCTGGTTCTCAATCATTTGGAGACTGGCCTACCCCGTGGGATTTCTCTAGCTCTCCAGCCTGCAGGTGGCATATCATAGGACTTTGTGGCCTCCATAATCTCCTCATTCTCTATCTCTATAAATCCTATTGGTTCTGTTTCTCAGAACACCCTGATGAATACAATATAGAAACCATTGTTGACTACTGACCTTAGATCTATTGTTACTTTAAATAGTAAGTGCCAGAAAATGAAAGTCACACTCAATCAAAGTTTATTCAGCCAAGATTCTCAGGACACACCTGGGAAAAGCACAGCCCACAAAGTATCTTCTGGGGATGGGGTTCTCCATAGAAAAGGTTGAGAACTTCACATTTAAAGGAAAAGTGGTACACAGGAGAAAGGGGAGGGGTGAAGGAGGTGAGCAATGAGGCAACTGACGGTATTCCTGTAAAGTTCTACTTGGTGTTTAGTAAATCTACGCAGATGAACATTCAAAAGAGAGGGCAGAGGAAAGGTCAATGTCCTGACTTCTCAGGGTGGAGAGAAGGGTCATCCTATCTCTTCCTTGTTTATCTCTATGGAGATAAACCTCTAATTAATATTTAAGGCTTATTTAGGCTACAGTCCTGAGGTTATAAATGACAAGTGTTTTGTTTTGGGGGGGGGGACTGAAGGAAAATACCCCCAATAGATTTATTTGATATATTGTGAGCATACAGGAATAATGCTGCAGGGTTCTCTAGGTGGAGAGAGTGGAGGAGAAATTTCCATCTGCAGAGATTCTCTCTTAAGTGCAGCCCAGGCCCTGCTTTACTTGATCTGGGACAGGTTTGCTTAGAGTCCAGCACCCCCAAATGTCTGAATAAAAATTTTTTCCTGGGGGATGTTATCATAAGGCTTATCTGCATTAAAAGACCACCTTACCAGCTGGCTTCTTTTTTCCTTCCCATACCCTGTTCTCCAAAGAAAAGGAAACAAATCCTATTTGCTCATTGTCTAAGCCCCTTTCTTAAGTGAAGGAGCTAAGGAAATTTCATCCCAAAATATGATGCTTTGGTATAAAAAATATTCGGAACTAAAGGCCATGCACGATCAGAAAGCACTGGAAAGGGGATTTCCCTATTATCACCATAAAACCGGACTGACCTGATCCAAAGATTGAAGGGAAGCAACCGATGCTGGTTTTTTATGATCATTTAATGAAAAATAAGTTCTGATTTTCCTTGTAATTTATTTTTTAAAATATCTGTGGTTTATTTAGTATTTGCTAGTTTCCAAATATCTGGGAATTGTTCATTTTTCTTTGTTAATGATTCCTACTTCAGTTTCTTTGCGACTGAAGAACATGCTCTGTAATTTCAATCCTTTGAAACTTCCTGAGACTTGTTTATGGCCAGATTTGTTTATAGCACATGGTCTTAGCCAATGTTTCCTGTGCACTTGAAAAGAAGTGCATTCTACAGTACCGGGTATGGTGTTCTATAAACGTCAATTGGGTGAAATCGTTTTATAATGTTCAAATCTTCTGATCCTTAGCATCTTTTTTGTTATTCTTTTCTTTCTTTGATCCCAAGTGTCTTTTGATCTATTTATTCTATCTATCACTGAGAGAGAGGGGTGTTAAATTTCTCAACTATAATCAGGGATTTGTCTACATTCTCTTTAGTTCTGTCAGTTTTTGCTGCACGTACTTTTACTCTGAAGCCTTGACATCATGGGCATAAACTTTTAAGACTGTCACCCTGATGACAAGATGATAATTTTATCATAGTAAAGGCTCCCTTTTATTTTTGGTAGTTCTTTTTGTCTTGAAGCCTATTATGTCAGATATTAATCATAATACTTCAGCTTATGACTCTTTCATGCCATATTTTTTCCATGTTTACTTTTAACCATTTGTCTTTAAAGTATACTTCTTACAAATACCATATACTTGATTCCTACTGTTTTATCTAGTCTGATGATGTTAACTGATCTTTAGTCAGTTTACATTTAATGAAATTATTAATATGGTTGGCTGTACATCAACTCTCTGGCTGTTTGTTTTCTATTTCTGCATATGCTTTGTTCATTTTTTTTCCTTCTTTCAGATTCATCAAGTATAATTTAGTATTTCATATTATTGCCTTTGTCTTTAGTTATATCCTTTGATTTTTTTTACAAAAACATTGTTTGCCCGGGATTAATATACATACATTCTAAGCAGCTAGGCCAAGCCAACTTGTCCACACCAAATCCTACCCAGTTGAGGGGTCCTGTGTGTGGGTGGACATGGCAGGTTTGTGTTAAATTAAAAAAAGAAAGAGGTCAACAAAACTCTCTGTATATTACTACTTAATCTTCTGTGATAACAAGTGCTTCAACCCTTAAAATAAATATTTATCCATCTATACATTACATATAGTGTCCATATATATATGTCCGATTGCTTTCAGTGAGAAGTTCACAGTCCTTATCATGGTCCATTTTCAAAGATTTACGACCTAGCTCCTGCTTGTATCTGCAGCTTTTCTTCCAAACCCCCAAATCTCCAGCAATATTAGATTTGCTGTGGTTCATCCATGTTGGACACTGTCTCACACTTCCAAGACTTCTATTAACTGCTTTCCACACCTCATCTTCCAGCTTGCTAATTAGGACTCATTCCTCAGAAAGCGACCATCACTTCCTAAGAGTTTAGGGGGTGCATGCGTGTAGGGCTTCCAAGGGGGGCAAATGCCAGTGTTGGTGGGGGTGAGGTTTAAATCTCCTGCAATGTACTGTATAATTCCTTTTTACAAACAGTCCTCACATTGTAAGTCTGCCTTCTCTATTAACTATGCAGGCTGCAGTTCGTTTTACTCATTACGAAATCCCAGCACTTTGCAGAGATGTGGCACAAACCAGGCATTCATTGAGATTATCTAAATTAAATAGAATGATGAGACTTCAATGGGGAAATACCACAGCTTCCTTATTTTAAGATGAAAACACTGAGGGCCAAAAGTCATGGGAGTTACTGAAGGTCACAATATTAGCTAGTGGTAAGGTCAAATATAGGATAACAGGCACACTTTCTTTCTTCCCAGGCACAACTGTCTTGAGGGCTTTCCTTTCACAGAGAAAGGACTTTCCTATTTAAGATGCCTCAGAGATCACTGCTCTGCCTGGGGCCTGGGAGCTCACTCTACCCATTGCCAGAATGTGGAGGGCACACGGCAGAGTTCCAAGAATATGGTGTAGAATGTGTGGGAGACCATAATATGCCTCCCCCAAATATGGAAGATCCTTGAGCTGAAATGAATAAGCAGCAGATTCAGGAAAGCTCTTTGCCATGGCCCTATATGCCTAAAAGTGGTACACAGACTTACATAGACAAAGGTATCCGTTCCCTCGCTACCAGGGAGGACAAAGGTTAACCACCGAAGGCGATTTTAGACCCTTGTGGCCTGGAGATGATAGCAGGGAGCTCAGAAAGAGCGTACTAATTGGCCTGTGTCTCCCATTTATTTGCTCTCCCACATTCCCGTCTTGGCACTTTTCAGATTTACTGTTCTTTGTTGAAGATGCTATACAGCTGGAATTCAGTCACCTCTTGGAGAGCGACTCAGGCTCTTAGATCCCTCCACGTCTCCCATGAATATATGAAATGTACATGCCAATAAACTTGTTTTTATCTTGCTAATCTGCCGTTTGTAGCACGAATCTGGTCCAACCGAAGGGGTGAAGAAAATCCCCTACACGTCACACGCTCCAGTGAAATTTGGGAAGCCTTTTCTGTACGCCCAAGCCAAGAACACATCTGCCAAGAAATTGCTGTGGCTCCAACCGGCCCTGAAAACCCGGTAACTAAGGTCGGAGGAAGAGGGAGGCAACCCCACGTGCCAGCGGGCGTTGATTTGGCCCCGAGGTGGCTGGCGCTGACCGGCTACCAAGTGCGGAGGTGGCAGCGGGCGCTCCGCCCCTTCCTCGTGCTCTGGTCTCGACCTTTTCCTACTGTCACCCGCCCCGTCCAGCGGCGCGTCCACGTGTGCGCCAAGGCGTCCTCCGACTTGGGCGGCGAGAGACTAGCTGCGTCTCTAACAGTCCCGGACCCCCGGCCTGGCACCGGACGGCCCCCCGTCCACCTCCTCCGTCCCCGATCCGGGCGCGCCGGGGCGCCGGGCGCAGTTGTCCTCACACGCGTAAAGCGCCAGAGGGCGTTTCCGGGTAGAGGAAACCGACACTTATCGCGCGTCTGCGGAGTGGCCGCGCCTGCCTCCTGCAGCTCCGCCAAGTAGGTGTGACCCCCCACTTTGTGGAGAGGGAAGCCGTCTGGGCCTGTCCCTGTGCGCTTTGCAAAAGCCTTTGTGCTTCCGTCTCGAAGCCCTTGGCTCTGGTCCCCCTTCCTCCGCCTGGAAACCCGGAGCCTTCTCTCGCGAGGCGAGAGGCTCCGCAGAGGGCCCTTTCGGTTTTCTACGCGTGATAGCCGCTCGGCTTGCGGGATTGCGAGGCCTGATCCTGGAAACCCGGGTCGGGTTGTGGACTTGTCACTGCCCCGCGGGACACCCTGAGCCTCGAACTCCGCTGCCCCACCACCCTGGCCCATCCCGGCCTCCGCCCACTGCGCTGCCCTTCCTCAGCCTTGTACTGTCTGGAGAGCCCGGCCCATTGGGGGAGGACCCCTGGGAAGACTTCAGGGAGCTGAATACAGTCCCCGGGGCCCTCTGGGCTTCTGGGCCTCCCACAGATCACTACGCATCATTTCTTTGTCCAGCAGGATTGGGAAAATTGGCAAGGAGTTTTGATATCATGACTCGTATTCTATTGCACTTTGGCCATGAGCCAGGATTTGTTTTAAGTACTATATTTTCATTATCTCATATGTTTATACCCTCACGGCTGGCCCGTGAGGTAGTCGCTGTTCACATCTGCTTGCTGGTTCAGACCACTCTCTCCTGTCCTCTACACCTCCGTCCATCCAGAGTGAAGATATGTCTCTAGGGTTGTACCTGGGGGGACCTTCCCTTGTGGAAACCCTCACACCTCTGTCCCTTCATTTCTCACCAGCAAACAATCTTATTCTCCCCTTTATACCAGAAGACAGAAAATGTTAATCTAACTTTGAAATTGAGGTCAGCAAGGATGGTAAAAGAATGTTGGTGACCCGTTAGGCTGTGGAATGAAAAACTTTTGCAGAAGTGTAACAAGTGAAAGAATACTAGTCATGACAGTGTAGCAAGTACAGCCCCTGGCATGTACTAGGTCCTTACTAGAGTTTATTTATTGAACTGATCACACACATTGTTACTACTAGGAAGGGACCCGGGAGTGGTGGTTGCTTGAACTTAAAGAAGCGGAAGAGGCGATTAAGAGAAAGGGGACCCCATGACTTAGACTCATTTTTGATGCTTGGTGCTCGGGAAAGCCCTTGAGCAGGACTGTACATTGAGTGCTATGTCTTTTTGCAGATGTTTCCTCAGAAGGAATCTGGGGCACCTGCCACCTGCATGGGCCCAGCCTCCACACAGGACCTGAACAGTAGCTATGGGGATGGTATGGCAGGAGAATGCTCCAGAAAACCAGACCAGAAGCTGCCGGAACTCCGTGGAATGGGTGATCTCACCATGTTCTCCTCTGACAGCTCCTACCTGTCCTCAAGAGGAAGAATGATTAAATGGTTCTGGGACTCAGCTGAGGAGGGCTACAGGACCTACCACATGGATGAGTATGATGAGGACAAGAACCCCAGTGTGAGTGAAGCTCCCCTCCCACTGGGACCCAAGAAAGGACTTTACCTTAGCCAATAGGACAGCACCCAGCTTCCTCTGGTCAAATTGAAGTTTTAGTCCTCTGACCTCCAAGAAGCCTTCTGATGTGGCTTAGAGTTCCTCATTTATTGCCTGAACCAGACAGTGGGCCATTATAATAAAGGGGACCCTGATTTGTGAGAGAGGAATTCAGGAACCATAGGATGCTCTTTTTTCTTTTCTGTTGCCTAGGCTGGAGTGCAATGGTGTCATCAGAGCTCACTGCACCCTCACACTCCTGGGTTTAAGTAATCCTACTGCCTCATCCTCCTGAGTAGCTGGGACCACAGGCATATGCCACCATGCTTGATTAAATTTTTTAATTTTTTTGTGGAGATGGGGTTTCACTATGTTGCTCAGGCTGTTCTTAAACTCCTGGGCTCAAACAATTCTCCAGTCTTGGCCTCCCAAGTGCTAGAATTATAGGCATGAGTCACCATGCCTGGGCCATAGAATGTATTCTATGGATTCTGGCCCACGACCTGTCAACTATCCAACTTTGGGACAGAACTAGGGTTCAGGTCACTACTGTTTCACTGACAGTTTCTGTATTGTGAGCTAGTTACTTAACCTCTTTGACTCTCAGTTCATCTCTAAAATGGGATAATAATGCCTGTCCTGTAGAAGAGTCATGATTAAATGGGAGCAAGTATGTGAAGTTACAGCACAGGGTTTGCCTCCTTGTATGGTCAATAAATGGTGCCTGCTATTATTACTAATATAACTTGTCCCAATTATTAAAAGTTATTCCTAGTAATACCTTCAGAGATCAGAGAGCTGTCACAAACAACTTTTTTTTTTTTTAAATTGAGACATAGTCTGCCCTTGTTAGAGTGCCATGTTGTAACCTCAAACTGTTGGGCTCAAATTATCTTCTTGCCTCAGCCTCCCAAGTAGCTGGGACTACAGGTGCCTGCCACAGTGCCCGGCAATTTTTTTTAGGGATGGTGTCTCGCTCTTCCTCAGGCTGGTCTCAAACTCCTGAGCTCAAGCAATCCACCTGCCTGGCCTTCCCAGACTGCTAGGATTATGTGAATAAGCCACTGTGCCTGGTCTACAAATAACTCTTTAATAATCTTCATTTGCAGAGTGTCCACCAGCTGCCAAGCACTGTTCTAGGTGCTGCAGTTACAGCAGTGAATAATAACAAAGGTCTTTTTCTCATAGAGTTTATATTCTAGGTGAGGAAATAGACAGTAAACAGAGGGAAAAAATATATGTAGTATATGCTGATAAGTACTGTAGAGAAAAATAAATCAAGGTAAAGAGGATAATGAATGATGGTTGGGCTGGGGGTATTGTTATTTAATAGAAGAAGGTAACAGAAGGCTAGTTTAATAAAGTGACATTTGAGCATAGACCTGAAAAAAATGAGCGATCATATTCGTTATCTATTCCTGTGAAATGAATTACCTCAAATCTTATCAGCTTAAAATGACAAGCACTTCATAATTTCTGGGGTTCAGAAATCCTGGTAGGTGTCTCAGGCTCCAGATCTTCTGTGAAGTTGTTGTGAAGCTTGGGGCTGCAGTCTCATCTGAAAGCTCAACTTGGGGAGACTCTATTTCCACATTCACTCACATGGTAATTGTCAGACCTCAGACTCTTTCCACCTTGGGCTTCTCCATGGGACTGCCTCTTGTCATGGCAGGTGGCTTTCCCAGGGTAGAGATCACTATGGAAGCCACAGACTCTTTGATAACATCACCTCAGAAGGGACATCCCATCACATTTTGTGTGTTCTATTCATTAGCAGCAAGTCACTTGGTCTAGCCTGCACTCAAGGGGTGTGACTACCAGGAGGTGGGGATCTTAGGGGCTGCCCACCATGAGAGCAAATCATGAAGATAACTGTGGGAAGAGCATTCTAGGCAGAGGAAACAACCAGTGCAAAGGCCCAGGGGTGGAGTCATGCTTGATGAGTTCAAGGGACAGGAAAGAGGCCAGTGAAGCTAGAGTAAAGCTAGGTGGATAGGTGATGAAATTAGAAAAGTAATGAGAAGGCTCTCAGCAGTTACCAAGCCCTCCTTTATCTTGGACTTCCTAGCCTTTAGCATGATAAATAAATTTATATCATTAATCAATTATTCAGTCTGGAGCATTCTGTTAGCAGCACAAGTGAATGAAGATGGCGAGGAATAGAGTATATAGGAAAATATATGTGGGGGCAGAGGATAATGGGAATTCTCTGTCCTTTCTACTCAGTTTTGCTGTTAACCTAGAACTGCTCTGAGAAATAAATTCTATTAAAAAAATAAAGCACATGTGGGATTTTCCAAAAAAAAAAAAAAAAAGGCGGGGGCAAGTAATGGGGCAACAGTGGCAAGCCTGATTTTAGACAGAGTGGGATAGTATGTAGTCAAAGGAGGAGGAATTTGATCTTATTTTGGTTTTTAAAAGATGACATAGATTGCTGTATACAGATAAGGGAGTGTGCAAGAGAGGGAGTAGGGAGGCTATTATGATGTGGACATTATGGTGGCTTGTCCCAGGACTTAGCAGTGGACTGTGCATGCATTGTGAAGGTAGAGCGACCAGGATGTGCGGATGGATTGGCTGTGGTTGGAAGAGCCTCCCGTTTTGCTTCCCAGAAGGTGAAGCAGCAGCACTACCTTTTATCTTGTCATAATCTGGCTCATTCAGATTCTACTTTTTCATCCCTGCTTCGCTTCCCTGTGCAGGAGGCCTGCACCGATTCTCTCTGGGCACTCTGTAAGGGAGAGCTTGGGCTGTGCCTTCTGGTCCCCCTCTGCTGCTGCATGAGGATCCAGGTGCTGTGTGATGTTGCACGGGTCTCCTGGGGAGTGTTTCACCAGCACAGAGGGCTCTATACCACCCTGTTCCTGTTCCTCCCAGAGTGCTAATTTACTGTGAACATTCTTTCATCCTATAAACATGTACTGAGTTAAACTAAGCCCCTTGAGAGATACAATGGTGCCTTTGGCCTGCATCTGGCCTCCAGGGAGTTCACACTCATAGGAGAGATATATCACATATATCAGTCCCTGTGACCTGGAGCAGAAACTGACCTGTGCTCTAAAGGGGACAGAGAAAGACCTTGGGATACAGAAGAAGAAAAGATCCTTCTAGGTAGGACTTTGTGGAAGCTCCCTCATGGATATAGCATTTGGACAGAGCTTTGGAAATGGGAGCCAAGGGGAGGGCACAGCTTGAGCAAAGGCAGGGAGGGGGATTGGGAGAGTGGGATAATAGAGGGCTTCCACTTTGCTTTGGGGCTTTTCGTTGGCACTCCACTGCCATGCTCACCCTGCCTCTGCACCTCTCTTCTCCAGGGCATCATTAACTTGGGCACCAGTGAGAATAAACTCTGCTTTGATCTGCTGTCCGAGAGGGTAAGTCCTGGGCTACCTCTAGGTGGCATCACCAGCTGTTTTTTTTTTTTTTTTTTTTTAAGACAGAGTTTTACTTTGTCACCCTTGGTAGAGTGTTGCGGCATCACAGCTCACAGCAACCTCCAACTCCTGGGCTTAGGCGATTCTCTTGCCTCAGCCAAAAGAATAGCTGGGACTACAGGCACCCGACACAATGCCTGGCTATTTTTTGTTGCCGTTTGGTGGGGCCAGGTTCGAATTCGCCACCCTTGGTATATGGGGCCAGTGCCCTACCCACTGAGCCACAGGTGCCACCCATCACCGGCTTTGAGGGACTGTCTTTCCTGGAATGCTTTTCCCACAAGAGCCTTAGTGTCCCTGTCCTTAGTGTCCCTGACACACAACTTTTTATGTGATCTTGAGTGAGTCACTTCACCACTGTGGTCCTCTTTGGACTTTTTCCCTTACTTGGTGCCTCCTACTGTGTTGGGTCCCTATCTCTGGGAGAAATAGTGGTATGTGGTCAGTTTTTAGCAACTGGCCCTTTGGGGGAACAATAACAACAAAAAACAGCCCTGATTTGTAACTTTGCCAATTTCTATAGTGTAAATTAGCCCATGGCCAATTACTGATGTGCCATCACTGCATACAGAGTTAGACGAAAGGTGCACTAGTATACTTTGTATAATTTTCCCACCATACAGACATACAAGGTCTGACAAATAAGTTCACAAACTAATCCTAGAAAAAGTGCTACATACCTCTTTGCTAAAGATCACTATCGTCACTTTTGAGGTACTCAACGGAAACTGCACCAACACCAGTGCGTTGTGATGCCAGAGCCTCATCCACACTTCAAAGCAGTTTTAGAATTCTTTTTCTGGAATGACCAATAGAGCTTTCACTGTATGGCACACAAAAACATACAATAACAATAATAAATGCCATTCAGCAAAACACTGCCACACACTGAGGTGAACACAGCTGTGAGACTGATATACCAAGGTTATGAAACTTTGCTGAGGTGTTTGTACAGTGCTGCCAATGTAACTGCACGTGGTAACTTTGTGAACTGGATTATCAGACCTGGTAGAGACTAAGATAACCCCAGATAGACAGTGGTATGTTATGTAGTAACAAATCAGAAGGTGATGATGTTAAGAGTTTATTACCTTTGTTTTTAAAATAATTTACTTAATTTTAAGTTTATATTAATTTAATTTTTTAAAATGGCTGTTTTTAGTACAGCTTACAAAATTCCCGAAACTTTCATAATCAGGTTTTTTGAGCTGGTGTGAACCATCTTTGGCAAACCACTGCAAACATCTAATTATTTCCCAAGGCTGCAGTGGCAGAGTTTGAGTTTGTAGGGGCCCAAAAAAAATATATTTCCAAAGGTGAAAAAAATCCAAGCCCCAAGGGTCAGGGGTTGCAGGGAGTAGGTTTTAAAGACCTGTTTAAAGTAAAGCTAAGGTAGCTCAGCACCAAAATAAATAAAGATGAGCAGCACATATAATTATAAATATTCTATTAAAAATGTAAAAATATCTGGTAAAATTAATTTTAATAATATATTTTATTTAGCTCAATGTATTCAAAGTATGGCTGTTTCAACATGTAATCAACAAAGAAATCATCGATAGTGTGTTTTATATACTTTTTTCTTTTTTTTTAAACTAAGTTTATGTATTTATTTATTTGTTGTTGCAGTTTGGCCAGGGCTGTGTTTGAACTCACCACCCTTGGTATATGGGGCTGACACCCTACTCACTGAGCCACAGACACCAATCCCCATACTTTTTTCATATACTAAGTTTTCCAAATCTAGTGTTTCTCCATTTAGAGCAGCCACATTTTCAGAGCTCAATAGCCGTATGTGGCTAGTGGCTACCATACTGGACAGGGCAGCTGTAAGGAAGAGAGAGGAAAGTGGCTGATTCCTTTTCTTTCTTCTGGCCCCACTGCCCAAGGCCCCTGCATTGGCCCTTTTTGACATTGTGTCTGTGATGCCTGAGGAGTTACTAACGCAGCACTTGGTCACAGAGTAGGTGGTCTAGAAACTGTCATATTTTCCTAAGCATACGATTGAGCTTACCCTGCAGGAAGACAGTGGCCTGAGTCCTCCAGGGGTTGGACCCAGGACTGAAGTGGTGGTCCCAGTGCTGGGGCTTTTCTTTCACCCCATGGAGTCACTGAGCAGCGTGGTCTCCCATTGCTGCCTCTGCACATCATCCCTCTGGGTTTTTCTATTTGGCAGTGTTATATAGAGAGCACTGGACTAGGAGTCAAAAATTCTGCATGTTTCTCTCCATTCTGCCATTTGCTAGCTCTGTGACCTTGTTTGAATGACCTCACTTTTTTTCAACCTTAGTTTCCTCATCTGCAAAATGGGCATGAGAAAGCCACCCCTGTGCTGTGTGTCTGGTGAACAGAACAGGCGCTTGGCTTTCCAGGTCCCAGTGCTGTGGATGCCGGTGCCAGCCTCAGCCCTTCTCTTTCCTCTCTGTCCCCAGCTAAGTCAGCAAGACATGCAATGGGTAGAGCCATCCCTGCTGCAGTACCCTGACTGGAGGGGACATCTGTTGTAAGTAGTTGCCATAGGCTAGTGGTTCTTAACACGGGACGAGTTTACCCCTTTAGGGATGTGTGGTAACATCTGGAGGCATTTTTGGTCATTATTGCTGGAAAGGGGTGCTTCTGGCATTTAGTGGGGACAGGCCAGGGATGCTGCTGAAGTTCTTGCAGTGCACAGTGTAGCCCCCACAACAAAGAATTATCTGGCCCCAAATGTCAATAGTGGCAGGTGGAGAAAGCCTTCCAGGGCAGACGGGCTAGTCCTGAAGACCTGGAAATTGCAGGGTCTCCTACAGCATCTGTAGGGAACTGGTGCCTCCTGCCAGTCCCCCCCCAGCACAGGAGCTACTTGGCTTTGTTTCTGTGACCATGGGTGTTTGGCATGGAGAGGACCTTCAGTGGAGGAGTCTTCATTTCCACTGTCTCAGTAGCTCAGAGAAGCCAGCATTGGTGTCAGGAGAACTTGCAGGACCTTTTCCTAATGGTAAGAAGGGAGGTGGTAAATACCGTGTTTCCCCAAAAATAAGACACTGTCTTATATTTATTTTTTCTCAAGAAGACACGCTAGGGCTTATTTTCAGGGGATGTCTTCCTCTCCGTGCTGAAACGCATGGTGTGGCTATGCAGATACGCTACCATCACTAGGTCTTATTATCGGGGTAGGGCTTGTATTTAACAAATGCATAGAAATCCTGCTAGGGCTTATTTTTTGGGTAGGTCTTATTTTCGGGGAAACACAATAATACTATGAACGATTTGTCCTCATTGAAATACTTATGAGGGGCTGGATGCTCTTCTCAGGACTTAGCAGCCAAGCAGAACTTGTCCCCAAGACTGATTACATAGTACTGTGTTTGTTTAGTGTAGTAGGTAGAAGGGTAGGCCCCGGCGTCAGACCCCTGGGGTTGAGTGTGTGCTTTGCCTCTTATCAGCAAGTGACTTCATTTCTACAGTCCTCAGTCTGTCTATGCAAGGGGGATAATTAAGTAGTAGTCACATCATAGGATTATTATGACAATCAAGTAAGTAAAATTTTCTGAATAACATTTGCATAAGGCAGCGGTTCTCAACCTGTGGGTTGCAACCCCTTTGGGGGTCAGACAACCCTTTCACAGGGGTTGCCTAAAACCACCCTGCATATCAGATATTTACATTACGATTCATAACAGTAGCAAAATACTGAAAGTTATGAAGTCGCAACGAAAATAATTTTATGGTTGGGGATCACCACAACATGAGCAACTGTATTAAAGGGTCACGACATTAGGAAGGTTGAGAACCACTGGCATAAGGCAAATGTTCAAAATATATTAGCAATAATAGCTATGGTAATAATGACATTATTATGATTAGTTAGATCTACATATAGCGTGTTATTTTTGGTATCCCTGAGGTCTCCTGATGAGGTGGGGTTTGCTGTCCTAGAACTCCTGCAATACACATAGGTGGTGGTGGTGGTGATGGTGGCGGCAGGGAGGGTTCCAAAGAGTGGAGACAGGTGCGACCACACCTCCCTAGTAGGAAACTGGGGAAGAGTAACAGCTCCTAATACACATAGTGGTGGTGGTGGTGGAGGTGGCGGGGAGGTGGGTGCCAAGGAGTGGAGACTGGAGTGACCACACCTCCCTAGTGGGAAACTGGGGAAGAGTAACAGCAGCTGCCTGCAGAGTTACCAGGGCGCCCTGGGCTGCGCTGTGGGTTGAGGACTCTCTGGCACACACTGACTATTGTCTTTTCTCCAGCCTCCGGGAGGAAGTAGCCAAGTTCTTGTCCTTCTACTGCAAGAGCCCGGCACCCCTCAAACCAGAGAATGTGAGTAGCCCCCTCTTCTGTTCCTTCTTGCCCTTCTGCCTCCCCTCCCAACTTTTGGCTGGCCAAGGGCAAGGTGGGAGTGGGATCTGCCCTTTATCTGATTTTGATTTGTTTCAATGGGGAATTAGACCTACCTCTTCTCTTCTTGCCCCTAGTCTTAGATGTTCAAGCTTTGGGTATAATTTCTGTGCCTTGTTCTCCATTGCCACACTGTCAGGCAAGACCTTTTGAGTGACTAGCCCTCTCTACCTTGCTCGGATGATTTGGAGCAGAGTCCACACAGATGACCTTGACTGTTGGTTGGGAGGGGCCTTTGGGGACCTCCTGGGTTTTGTTGTGACAGAGTCCTGGATGGTCTGAGGAGGGCCCTGGCTCGCCCTCTGTGCTGTCTTGGGACAAAGGCTGGGGGTCCTGGCTTTCCCATGGAACGATTCATCTCCATCCCATGGATGTGTCATCCTCAGGTGGTTGTTCTGAATGGCTGTGCCTCCCTCTTCTCAGCTCTGGCCACCGTGCTATGTGAGGCGGGGGGTAAGTGAGCTCTGGGACCCCTCTGTGTGGGGGGCAGTGTTGTGCCCACAGCATCCCCAGTCTGGCCTCAATGACTGTATTAGTATGCTTTGGCCATGGCGGAATCTACTAGGCTGCAGGGGGCTTAAGTAAGTGGCTTAACAAGATACCCGGGTTGGCCGTTCCAGGGGAGGTTAGTGTGACGTCAGGGTCCTGGGCTCTCACTTCTCTTTTCCTTCATGGTTGCTAGGTGTTTGTTGCCCTCATATGCCGGTGCATCTTAGAGCAAGGAGAAATGGGTGAGGTTGTGCCATGACTCGTTTTTATCAGGAGAGTAGGGGTATTCTTTACCAGAAGAGCCCCAGTGGCACCAGAGGTCACCTGATCTATTACTAATCAGGATTGATTCATAAACCCAAAGCAGTCTCTGGTGAAGGCAACTAAGAGAAATACAACTGCCTTAAACCAAACATGGTTCATCCCCTAGGCCTGTGGAGATGAGCCCCCCTGGGTTGCTGATCATATCTGAAAACACTGGTGGTCTCTTAGCAAGGAAGAAAATCAGAGTGGTGGGTGAGTAGGCAGCCTGCAGTGCTGGTGCAAGAGCTGTAGTAGTATTAAGATCTGGTCATGGCCAGGGTTATTGGTTACAAGGAACAGAGCCCCACTCATGATAGCTTAACTAGTGATGACAATATTAGTAACATTTAGTGACCCGGTCCTGGCTTCAGGATTTATGCACAGTATGCCATTTAATTCTCACATCACCCCTACAAGATAGGTTCTGTGGTTATTTCCATTTTACAGATGAGGAGACTAAGACATAGGAGTAACTTGTTTTTTTTTTTTTTTTGAGACAGAGCCTCAAGCTGTCCCCCTGGGTAGAGTGCCATGGCATTACAGCTCACAGCAACCTCCAACTCCTGGGCTCAAGCGAGTCTCCTGCCTCTGCCTCCCAAGTAGCTGGGACCACAGGCGCCCGCCACAACGCCCGGCTATTTTTTGGTTGCAGCCATCATTGTTGTTTGGCGGGTCTGGGCTGGGGATTCGAACCCGCCACCTTAGGTGTACGTGGCTGGCGCCTTAGCTGGTTGAGCTATAGGCGCCGAGCCAGGAGTAACTTGTTAAAGCGACACAAATAGAGATGGTAACCAGGATTCTAATCATAAAGGGAAGAGTCATTGTAAGGTTATAATAGGTGATTTTTTTCCCATTCTATAATGCTCAAGAACAGGGACCCTCTAAACTTTAGGTTCCTGTCTGTAAAGTTAGGGTGATAATAGTACATCCTGGGGAGAGTGTGAAAAGCAAACGAGATGAAATACACATAAATGTTCAGCGTAATTCGCAGCACATAGTGGGTGCTCAGTAAACGCTTGCTGTTAATTATTAGGTAAGGAACTTATTTCAGTGGACCATAGCTTTAAAAAGACTTTTGGGAGTTGAGAGCATGAGCATGTCCCCAATGTTTCCCAAGGATGTTGAAGACTTGGAGAGCCAATTGGTCAATGGACAGGGGCTGGGGGTGTACTGGCCCAAGGATGAAAGGCCCTGACCCTTTCTGTCCCCAGAGGCTTTCCTGATCCCTACCCCATACTATGGAGCTATCACACAGCATGTCTATCTCTATGGCCATGTCCGGCTGGCCTACGTCTATCTGGACAGTGAGGTAAGGTGTGACCTGGGCCTGCCTGTAGGCCAGGAGCTTCCTGAGTCTGAATTTGAGGGTGGATGACATGGAAAGAAGTACATGCTGGGGGAGCTGGGGTTGTGGGGAACAGGGGAGGGGTCTTCTGTTACCATATGGCTATCACACTTGGCAGAGGCTTCTAAGCTTTGGGCTCTGATACCCTTGGCATTGATGTAGAAGCCAAGAGCCAGTCCCAGAAATAGTGGGGTGGGAACAGAACAGAGAAGAACTCAACATGAAAGTCCTCAGACCCCAATCAGAGGACCCTGGGGGCCTCCGTCAGAAACCTGAGAGTTATGAGGGTGTGATGGGGTGGGGTGGACAGCAGTAAGATACCCACCCCTCATTTTCCTAGTGATTCTTCCAAGTAGGCTGGTAATTATAGAGGAGGAGAGGTCTGAAAGTTCAGGTTTGGATGGTGGTCACTGAATTTGGTTGGTGGCTTTGGTGGGTCTTTTTCCAGGTCACTGGGACAGACACACGCCCCTTCCAGCTCACAGTGGAGAAGCTGGAGATGGCCTTACAAGAAGCTAATTCTAAGGTTTGGGGCTCAAAATCAACCCAAGGCTGGGAGTGGGTGTGTCTGAGCAGGGTGTGAACCCTCTTCCTGTGGCGATCTCACATGGGAGTAGGGTTGGCAGCTCATGATGGGGACATGTGGGTAGAGTGGTGGCACAGAACTGCTTTGGGAGCCAGGCAGGACCCTACCCATGGAGAGTCTTCCCTTTAGAAAAAGACCTCAGTGTACAGAGAATCAACCAGGCAGCTGCACCCCAACTGCTCCCCTCTCCCCATCCCATCTGATTCTGATTCTGTGGGTCAGGTGTGGAGTGCAGGAGTCTGTGGTTTAATAAGTGCCCCTTATGACTTATTAAGGGAAGGGGGGAGCCCTGCCCGCTTTGAGGGGACCTGAGGCCTCCTGAAAAGGCGGAGAGCAGCACTTGATAGTTCCTTTCCAGTCCATTTGTGTCTACTCACTGTTTTCTACCTTGGTCTCTAAAGCTGTCCAGGATCACTGTAGAAATTTTGAAAGTGCAGGAGGCCCACCCATGATTCTACCAACACTTGGGCACATTTCCCTCTGCGCTTCACTCTTTGCCTTTGTTTTCTTTTCATTGTTGGCACAATGCCACCGATGTCATTCTGTGTCATACTTATGTGCTTCCTGTTGGGTCATGAACATGTCCCCTCACATTTCCCTGGGAGCCACCCAGTGATTACTGCCCTTCCACTGTGCAGCTCTGGCCTTGGGGAAGAGCTGAGGGTCTCTTGCCTTGTGATGGTTTCAGGGTGTAAAGGTCAAAGGCCTCATCCTTATCAACCCCCAGAACCCTCTGGGCGACATCTACTCCCCGGGAGAGCTGCAGGAGTACCTGGTATTTGCCAAGAGGTGAGGCACCCACAGTCCCCCTCACAGTGTCCGGGCAGGCCCTTTTACCCTCCTCACCCCACTGGGGGCTTCTGTTATACTTGCTTGGGCCCCTTCCTGTGGTGGAGTAGGGAAGTAGGAATTTGTAAGATGCCATCTCTCTCGCTCACTTTCTGACAATAGCTATCATTTCTTACACACTCTGTATCTCATACAGTCCTCACAACAACCCTGTCAAATACTGATACTATTGGGGGTCCAGTTCAGAGTCATCACGTGAGGCGTGGAGCCCCACTGGGGTATGGGTCTTTCTGACTCAAGCTCTCCTACTTAACTGTGCCTCTCCTTGGAGGTACCTGGGGGGGGCCCTCTCCCCGACAGTGCTCCACTGTCATCTGTTTTGAAAGCTCTACTGTCAATCTGCTTTGCACGTATGGCTTCCTGTTAGTTTGAAAAAATAGACAAAAGCAGGGTGATCCTGGAGAAAACCAGTTTGGTAACCCTGGGCTGGACCCAGGTCCCTCTGGGTTTGTGGGGCTCTGCCACCCCTCTCTGCAAACCAAGCTCTGTCCTCCCCACCACCTGCCTCCCTCCAGGCACGAGCTGCACGTGATTGTGGATGAGGTCTACATGCTGTCTGTGTTTGAGGACTCGGTTGGATACCGAAGCGTTCTAAGCCTGGAAGGGTGAGGGTCTCTCAACACCCACTAACTCCATCTGCCCCCCATTTCCCCAAGGAGCTTTAGCCTCTTTCTGGCTCAGCCCACAGGGCATGGCTTGCCCAGGGCAATTCCTCTTCCATTCAGCTGAAGGCACTGGTCCTCACATTCCCTGATGAGAGGGTGGAAGGGTTGGGCTAGATCATGGGTTTGCAAATTGTTCTGGGGCTTCTGAGAACTGCAAGAGGGGCTTAAAAATTCCTTGAGGGAGGGCTTAGTGGGTGGAAAACTGGCCTTTGCTGATTCCTTCATCCCGAGTAGCTCTAGTTTTCTTCTTTCATTCATTTACTCTCTCATTCATTCATTACATTCTGGAGCCACTTGCATGTGCCAAACACTTTTGGCTATTTAAATATAGGGTGAAAGCAAAAATCTGTGGCCAAAATACCTTTGGAAACACCTGAACCAGATCATCTGTAAAGTCTGTAGATGCGGCCCCAGGAACTTTACAGATCTACTGTTTGATCAGAACCTTCTGCCCTAGTAGGTTCTTTCCATTGGTTCTCTCGTCCTATTCCTCACAAAGCTCTGCAAATTAGATGGAGCATGAATTGTTAACTCCCATACATTTTATGGATTAGGAAAGTGGGACATAGAGAAAAGAGTGACTTGTCCATGATCCTTGGGTAGTCATGGAAACAACAAGCATTGAGCATCTTTCCAGGTACTGTGCTTGGTGCTGCGGTTACAGCACTGAATGGACTTTGATTCGTAGCCAGGAAGAAAAAAAAAACATTTTGGCTTCTAAATACACAGCTAGTTGTTGGATTATGGATAAGTGCTAACACAGAAGTCTGGAGAGCTATGGGAGGACCTGCTTGGGGTACACGATTGGCCTGGTGCTTGGGAGTGGTTAGGGAAGGTCTCTTTGAGGAATTGATCAGAAGTCAGCAAACTCTTCCTGTAAAGGGCCAGATGGTAAATATTTTATGCATTATAGACCATGTGGTTTCTCACTCAACCCTGCGTTAGAAACTACATAAATGAGTTAAGGGTAGCTGTGTTTCATCAAAACTTTATTCACAAAAATAAGCAGTAGGCTAGATTTGGCCCGTGGACTATTACTTGCTGAATCTGCTCCAAAGGATGAATGGTAATTGGTGGTACAAAGAGTTGAAAACACAGGGCTTGACCCAGAACCAGAACCAGAAGCTGATTCGTCCATCCACCTTCCAATTGTTCAACCAAACACAGGTGAGCCGCCATGGTTCTGAGTTGCCTCTATTCCCATGCTGTGTTCTCTGCAGGCTGCCTGACCCCCAGAGGACCCATGTAATGTGGGCTACTAGCAAGGTGAGCTTCTAGTTGGCCTCAGGAGTGTTAGGGAGGTGGGAGAGCAGAGAGGTGGATGGAACCAGCTTCCTCCAAGGAGGGTTGGCCGCTGCCTGGAGTGCTTCTTTCTGCAGGACTTTGGGATGTCTGGGCTCCGCTTTGGCACGCTGTACACAGAAAACCAGGATGTGGCTACCGCTGTGGCTTCCCTCTGCCGCTATCATGGTCTCAGTGGCTTGGTCCAGCACCAGATGGCACAGCTGCTCCGAGACCGTGGTGACTTCCTGGGCCTGGTGACCTAAAAACGGGGGGAGGTTTGGAGTCAGCCTGGGATTGCCCAGAGATCATGGATCATTTTCCCATGAGAAGAATTTACGGTGGTGTTTGAGAGTGTCAGCTCTGGACCCAGATTGGGTCCATGCCCTGCTCAGTCACTTCCTGGATGTGTGGCACATTACTTCCCCTCCCTGAACCTCAGTTTCCTCCTCTGTAAAACAAGGATTATGATGGTACCCGTCTGGTAAGGTAGTGTGATCTGTAATTTAATTAGAATAGTGCTAGGCATATAACAGGCACTTTGTCAATGTGTAGTTTTTATTAGCTGTGAGCACTTAGAAAACACAACAGAATAGGCCAGGTGCAGTGGCTCACGCCTGTAATCCTAGCACTCTGGGGGGCCAAGGCAGGTGGATTGCTTGAGCTCAGGAGTTCAAGACCAGCCTTAGCAAGAGTGAGACCTCGTCTCCACAATAGCCAGGTGTTGTAGTAGATTCCCATAGTGCCAGCTGGGAGACTGAGACAAAAGAATCGCTGGAGCCCAAGAGCTTGGGGGTTTTATGAGCTATGATGCCATGGCACTGTACTGAGGGTGACAAAGTGAGACTCTGTCTTAAAAAAAAAATACAACAGAAGCTACTAAGAAAAGATTGTTACAATCATTTCTCCAGATGTGAATCTGTTCTCTTCCTGGGTTCAGGTATGGAGTGTAGATAGTAAAGGTTATGTGTAGTTGCCACTGTTTATTGAGCCCTGCAGCTGCTTTTGCTGTTTTGTTTCATTTGTTCCTGTCCAGAGTCCTAGAAGCAAGAACTCTCATATTTCCCCCATTATTTTACAGATGAGGAAAGTGAAGACCAAATATTATATGCTCACTATAATAGCTAAGAGTTTTAAAAGTAGTGATAACATCACGTGTCGATAAGGATGAGGAGCAGCTGGAACTCTCATTCATTGTTGGTGGGGATGTAAGATGGTTCAGCCACTTTGGAAAACAATCCTGTAGTTTCTTATAAACTTATTATTTTTTAAGACAGAGACTCCAGCTGTCACTCAGGATAGAGTTCTGTGGTGTCATAGCTCATAGCAACTTCCAACTCGAGCTCAAGCTATCCTCTTGCCTCAGTTTTTCTATTTTTAGTAGAGATGGGGTCTTGCTGTTTGCTCAGGCTGTTCTTGAACTCGTAAGCTCAAGCAATCCCCGTACCTCAGCCTCCCAGAGTGCCAGGATTACAGGTGTGAGCCACCACGCCCAGCCTGTTTCTCATAAACACACACTTACCACGTGACCCAGCAATCCCACTTCTAGATATTGACCCTGATATTCACAAAAGATGTCTATGTGAATGTTTATAGCTGCTTTATTCATAGTCACTCACACCTGGAGACAACCCCAGTATCCTTCTGCAGATGAATGGCTGTGCCAGTGGTGGCACATCCACACAATGGGATACTGCTCTACAATAAAGTCCGTGACAACACAGACTGATCTCAAGGGCATTCTGTTGAGTGAAAGACGCTAATCTCAAAAGATTATATACTGTGTAATTCCATACATACTGTATAATACTGTATGAATACATACTGTCAATTCCCCTTCTGTGGCATTCTGGAAAGGGCAAAACTGTAGTGACAGATAACAGATCAGTGGATGCAAGGAAGGGGCCACCATGACTGTAAACAGCCTAAGGATGTTCTTTGGGATGATGGAACTGTTCAGAATCCTGACTAAGGGGGGTGGTGGCACAAATCTGTACATGTGTTCAAATTCATAGAACTGTTCAGCAACAACCAAAGAAGCTCAATAAAACATGAGGATCAGGCTGGGCATAGTGGTTCATGCCTGTAGTTCTATCTCTCTGGGAGGCTGAGGCGGGTGGATTGCTTGAGCTCGGGAGTTCAAGACCAATCTGAGCAAGAGTGAGACCCCATTTCTATTTTAAAAAAGTAGAAAAGTGGCTCGGCGCCTGTGGCTCAGATGGCTAAGGCGCCAGCCACATACACCAGAGCTGGCGGGTTCGAATCCAGCCCAGGCCTGCCAAACAACAATGATGGCTGCAACCAAAAAATAGCCGGGTGTTGTGGCAGGTGCCTGAAATCCCAGCTAGTAGGGAGGCTGAAGCAGGACAATTGCTTGATCCCAGGAGTTGGAGGTTGCTGTGAGCTGTGATGCTATGGCACTCTATCCAGGGTGACAGCTTGAGGCTTTGTCTCAAAAAAAAAAAAAGTAGAAAAACTAGCTAGGCATTGTGGGCACCTGTAGTCTTAGCTACTTGGGAGACTGAGGCAAGAGGATTGCTTCAGTCTAAGAGTTTGAGGTTGTTGTCAGCTGACACCACAGTGCTCTAGCCCAGGCAATAGAATGAGACTCTGTCTCAGAAATAAATAAATAAATAAATAATAAAATAAAAAGAAATGAGGATCAAAGAGGTGAAGTTGCCTGAGGCCTCACCCTTTGTCATTGTCATGCTGGGGTCTGAATTTCAATTCCTGTGACTCTAAGCATCACTTTACAACTGGATAAACCTTTGGTTGACTTTTCTATCCTGAGGGACTTTACACTCTGGGTTCCTGAAGAGGGTGTGGGACCTGGGAAGCAAGTCAGGACGTGCATCTGGATGTAAGGTGCTTTATACCAAGCTAGGAATTCTCACCCCCTTCCTACTTTCCCTCTGTAGCCCCTACTCCCTGCCCATCAACCAGCCAAAGGACTCACACAGTCCTGGAAGCTTGTGGCCTCATTCTTTTCAGCATTTAGACTAGTGGGTCTGAGTGGAGGGCTGGTGGGAGATGTATCTTTTGGCTTCCCTTTCACCCATACAGATTGGATCAATCAGGTGTACCTGCCGGGAAACCATGCCCGGCTCAAGGCTGCCTGCGCCTATGTCTCTGAAGAGCTCAGGGCCCTGCGGATCCCCTTCCTGAGTCGTGGGGCCGGCTTCTTCATCTGGGCTGACTTGAGAAAGGTCAGGCAGGTGGAGGTGCAGGTTGGGTGGGAGTTTCATGCCTCTCCCAGCAGGGGAAGGGCCCCGGGGGGAGGTTCTCATCTATATCCCAAGCCCCTTACACCCTCCCAGTACCTGCGCAAGGCCACCTTTGAGGAGGAGATGCTGCTCTGGCGTCGCTTTTTGCACAACAAGGTACTGCTGTCCTTTGGCAAAGCCTTTGAGTGTAAAGAGCCTGGCTGGTTTCGCTTCGTCTTCTCAGACAAGGCCCAGCGGCTTCGCCTGGGTGAGTAGCCTCCTTCCCAGCCTGGCCCCCAACTGCATCCTTCACTCTGCCCTCCCTCCTTTTGTCCCCAGCAACTTCAGCTGGTTCGTCCCCACCCACCTTGCCAGCAGTGCTGACTGGCCCCTCACTGCCCCTTTCTAGGGATGCAGAGGGTCCGGCAGGTGCTGGAGGGTGATGCCCAAATGGCAGAAGATTCCCCCGCCTTGGCAGACCCAGGAGCCAAGTGATCAGTGCAGGTGAGCTGGCTGTTGCCTGATGGACACAGGGCCTAGCAGCCACTGCTGACCTGTGGTGTTCTGGGGCTGCAGAAGACAATGGATGTGCCAGTTGCCAGGAAGATAACCCAGCGAGGCTTTGCCGTTGAAGAAGAACTGCTGCTTGCCTTTCTCTGTGGCATCCAAAGACTCCTCAAGCTGTGGTTCAACTTGGGCCATCCCTCTTCCCTATTAAACAAAACTAGATGCCTCTGTTGTGAGTAATTTACGGAATGGAGTCGTGACTGCTCCTACCCACAGCCTCAACTCCCCCTACCCCCAGCACACAAAGAAAACAACAAACAACCTGTACCTTTTTGCTAGCACTTTCTTACCTCTGTGTTGCCAGGGAAACAAGTCCAAGGAACAGCACGTGTAAGAGAGTAGGCTGAACAATTTTTTAAAAAAGCACTAACTTTCAGATTACAAGGAGAATGATACTAATTCTGTTTGTTCATATTATTGTCCCCACACTGAGGACAGTTGGGCTCACAGCACAGGTCAGTGAGTTAGAGGAGGACAAATGTCATTGTGTTTCACTTAGAAAGGAGGAGAAGGATGAGTGGTGGTTGCGTTGGCAGATAATTGGCTCTACTAGTTTGAAGTCTGTCAGAGAAGCAAGACCCCTCTGAGGGGCCTGTTGAAGTTAGACCAGTGGTTCTCAATCTGTGGGTCGCCACCCCTTTTTAACAATGAAAATACATTGCGGCATTAGGAAGGATGAGAACTACTGAGTTAGACTTTAACCAAATGTAGGAGATACAGAGGCCACGAAGAGGATGGTGGTGGGAGGGTCAGAGGAAAGTCACCAGGCAGGGACCGTGATGGAGACCTGGTGAAGGTGTCTGTGGAGGGCTGTTGCCTGTGTCTGGTGGTTGGCCTGAAACACCTGTAGGTCAGTAAGGCAGGCGATTAGGAAGAAAAGCAGACATAAAGTGGGTGGAAGCAGATAAATTAGCACCTACTGCATGGGTGACGTGTTGTATGGAGCTGGCTCTATTATCTGGGTTCCACACATGTTCCATTCAGGACTGGGAAGTGCCGAGGAGAAAGTGTGAGGGGCTGGAGGGTCTGTCTGTGGCCTCACACCCTGGAAGCAGGGAGACCAGCTGGTGTGTGTGCAAACTGCGGTGAGGCCTGGTGCCCATACCAAGGGCACTGTGGCTGCTGCTTCCCCCCTGCCTTCCAAGCCTTTTGTGGCCAATCCTAACCCAGGACCGTACAGGAAAGAATATTCTAAGAAATGTAGTTCCAGCTTAGGTAATCTGGCCTACTACAAAATGACCACACTGTCTGAATTCTGGAGCCACCATTCAAGTGATGAACAGGACCTACCCACGTGAACGTAGATACTAAAGTTGAGAAAGCTCCAAACGGTATTTAGGAAGAAGGAATGATGCAGATACGTGGTATGAAGACCAAGTGCATGAGCCGTGCGTGTGTAGAGCAGAGCAAAGACTTCAAGGCAGGCTGTTGGGGTTCTGGAGGATCTTGTTTGCCACATTAAGGAATTAGCTATAGAAATTGGAAGCCATCAAGGGATTTTAAGCAAGGAATAAGTTGTATTTTGTGTTCTCTTGACCTGCTAAATGCTATTTCTTCCCTTAATATGCCATAGTTTATGTATCCATTTTCTTGTTGATAGACATTTAGTTTCAATTTTTTAAAATAATTGTCACATTTTTAAACATACTGCCTTATACAAATACAGACATTTCTCAAGGACTAGTCATATTTAGAACTAGTCATGCTGGCTTATAGGATATGTGCATCTTTAACCTAACTAGATATTTTCAAATTAGGCTCCAATGTGGTTAACCAGTTTACACACTTATCATTGATGAATCAGTTTTGAGAGACCCACATCCTTTTCGATACATGCTATTAGGTTTCTAAATTGTGCTTAGCGTGATAATCTGTGAAACAGTTATTTCACTGCGATTTTACTTTTTAATTCTATAATCACTAGGGAGGATAAACATGTCCCCAAATGTTTATTGGCTATTTGTGTTTCCTCTTCTGTTACTTGCTGGATTTATTTTTGCTGATTTGTCTATTTTTGTGGTTTTTCTCTTCTTATTGATTTATTTTTCTCCCCCTTCTTAGATTTTTCTGGATTTTGTTTCCTCATCAATTTCTTCTACTTCCTTATAAGTTATATGCTGTTTCTCTTACTTCTGGTTGTTATCTTAAATATTATAACACATATTCATAACTTACTCATCTAGAATTATGAGAATTCGTATATTTACCTTTAAAAAAATAATACAAGGGCCTTAGAGTATCTTTTGACCTTTAATCCCCTGTAATTGGTCAGCTTTTTTTTTTTTTATTAGAGACAGGGTCTTTATCACTCTTGGTAGAGTATTGTGCCGTCACAGCTCACAGCAACTTCCAACTCCTGGGCTTAGGCAATTCTCTTGCCTCAGCCTCCTGAGTAGCTGGGACTGCAGGCACCCGCCACAGTGCCCAGTTATTTTTTTGTTGCAGTTTGGCTGGGGCTGGGTTTGAACCCGTAACCCTTGGTATATGGGGCCAGCACCCTACGCCCTGAACCACAGGCGACTCCCAGCTATTTTTGTTGTCTATTGTATTTTAACTCCACAGAATCTTATTGCTTTATAAAGGTAACATTTGCTTAGATCTGCCACATATTCATTTCATACACTTAAGATTTTATTTGGGATCACTTTTCTTATGCCTAGAGTAACAAACAATTAACATTCTTTGGTGAAAGTCCACTGGTAAAGTTGTTCTTGTCTGAAAGTGTATTTTGCTTTACTTCTGAAAGATAATTTCACTTAGCTTTTTCTGGCTTCCACTGTCTCTGCTGAGTACAGTAGTCAGATGTCAGTCTGTGGCTTCTTTAGAGGTAATCTACTCCCTCTCTCTCTCTCTCTGCTTTTAAAAAATATTCTTCATGTCTCTTGTCCAGAGATATATGGGATTGTGGGGTCCTTTTTTTTTTTTGATTAATTTGAGTTCTCTGTAGATCCTAGTTATTTAAGAGAATGGATTAACTAGCTGGGGTATATATATACCGTGGAATACTATTCAGCCATTAAAAAGATGGAGACTTTACATTTTTTTGTATTAACCTGGGTGGAGGTGGAACACATTCTTCTTAGTAAATCATCATGAGAATGCAGAAGCAAGAATCCAATCTATTCAATTCTAAAATAAAAATAAAATTCACATACTATACAAGTCACATTTAAATGTGTGACAGACCAACTTGCTCTGTCTCCAAGTGTTTCACTGTTTTTTTTCATGTTTTTCTTTCTCGTTTTCTCTTTGCTACATTCTGGGTAATTTCTTTTAGTCTGTCTTATAAATTAATAATTCTTTTCTTTAGCTGGGTCTAATCTACTTGAATTGAGTTTTAGGTTTTAGCAAATATAGTTTTGATTTGTAGAAGTTCTAAAAGTTGTTCTTTATAGCTCAAACTTGTTTTTATCTTTAAAACATAATAAGCATAATTTTTGTCTCTCTTTTCAATATTCCAGTATTTGATGTCTTTGTTAGTTTGTTTTTGCTATTTATTCTGTTGCATGCCTTATGTCTTATTTCAGCAGTTCTCAACCTATGGGTCGCACTTGAGCCGGGGAGTTTGAGGCTGCAGTGAGCTATGATCATGCCGTTGCACTCCAGTCTGGATGACAGAGTGAGACCTCATTTAAAAAGCAAAACAAACAAACAAACAAACAAATAAGAAAATGGCCCCACCCTCCCCCCCAACCTCTCCTTGTACCCTTCCCCCTAGTTCCTGGTAACCACCATTTTACTTTGCTTTTTTCTATGAATATGACTATTTTAGGTACCTCATATAAGTAAAATCACACAATACTTGTCCTTTTGTGAAGGGCTTATTTCACTAGCCCTCAGGGTTCATTCAGGTTGTAGCATGTGACAGTATATCCTTCCTTTTAAGGCTGAATACTATTCAACCATATATCTCTATATACAGATATATAGATATACCATATCACGTTTTGTTTATCCATTCATCCATCCATGGACATTTAAGTTGCTGTCGTGAACAGTGCTGCTAAGAATATGGGTATGCAAATACCCCTTTGAGACCTTGTTTTCAATGTTTTTGGATATATTCTTAGAACTGGTGGATCATATAGTACTTATATTTTTGACTTTTTGAGAAATTATCATACTGTTTTCCCCAGCAGTTACACTATTTCATAATCCTACCAGTACTACGCAAGGGTTCCCATTTCTCCACATTCTTACCAACACTTGTTTATGATTTTTTTTTATTATTTTCAGTTTTGGGCCAGGGCCAGGTTTGAACTCACCACCTCTGGTATATGGGGCCAGTGCCCTACTCACTGAGCCACAGGCACTGCCCTATTTATGATATATATATATATTTTTTTGCAGTTTTTTGGCCAGGGCTGGGTTTGAACCTGCCACCTCTGGCATATGGGGCCAGCTCTCTACCCCTTTGAGCCACAGGTGCTGCCCCTGTTTATGATTTTTTTGATAGTCATCCTAATGAGAGTGAGATGTTATCTTATTGTGGTTTTGATTTGCATTTCACTGATGAATAGTGATGTTTAGCATCTTTTTATGTGGTTGTTGGCCATTTGTATATCCTCTTTAGAGACACGTTTATTTCACCTGCTGCTAATGATTTTGGGCACTTGTTTATAGGTGTGTGTGTATATATATATACATATATATATATATATATTTTTTTTTTTTTTTTTTTTCTGAGACAGAGCCTCCCTTTGTCTCTCTCACTAGCATGCCATAGAGTCACAGCTCACAGCAACCTCCAATTCTTGGGCTTAAGTGATTCTCTTGTCTCAGCCTCCCAAGTAGCTAGGACTACAGGCGCCTGCCACAACACCCAGCTATTTTTTGTTGTTGTTGTTGCAGTTGTCATTGTTGTTTAGCTGACCCAGGCCAGGTTCGAGCCCACCAACTTCTGTGTATGTGGCTGGCGCCGTAACTACTGTGCTACGGGTGCCGAGCCTCCTTAGTCTTTTATAGAATATAGTCTTTTAAAAAATATTTTCTTAAAATATTTCACTTTTAAGTCTTTGAGTGCTAGTTATATTTATATCTCATAATTCAATTACATGTATTTCTTGGGGATTAAATTTCTGCTCTTTGTATTTTCTGAGTCTTGTTGATGGTGGTTTATTTTCTCATGTGCTTTGTAATTCGAGACTGTGAGCTTGTGTTTGTCAGGA